TCGTGTATTACGTCATTGATCTTCATCAGAATCGTTTTATAGGTAAGGACACTGAGGCACAGAAGGGTTAAGTAACTTCCCTGTTGTCATACAGCTTGTACGTAGCAGAGTAAGTCAGATGGCACTTCAGAAGCCGGGCCCCAGAGCCCAGTCTCTCATCCTCTGTCTTAAATTGTCTCTCCATGTGGGAGGCACTTGAGGTCCTCACTCGGAGTCCCTGCATGGTGGGATGAACCAAGTCACGTGGAAGGTGTGAGCTCCCTTCCAGCTCCCGGCCTGGGACGTGGGTCATCCCCATGTCCTCATCCAGGCCTTTGTTTTGCCATCCATGTGCAGGCTCCTGTTTAGGGATGTAGCCAGGGCTGTAAAGAGACTCCTAGGAACCCTGGAGCCCTGGTCAGGACCTGGGATGTCCCCCGTGAGTCTTGTGCCAAAATAGTGCCTCAGATCCAGACAAGACTCAAGAGAAATAACACCATTAGTTTACATATAGTGCCATTTATTGAGCATTTTATGTATCTGGTACTGTGCTAATGGCATTACATAAATATCTATCTCATTTAATTCTTACAACAAATAAGAAAACAACAACAAGGTAGAAGTTACTAGTATTATTCTCTATTCTCATTTCCAACCAGGAAGCCTGGGTCTAGAGAATCTGGAGAACTTGCCTGGGGTCACACAGCTAGTAAAAGACTGACCGGCAGTGCCGACCCAGCCTGGCTTCAGAAAATGCCCCTTGGGGCGCCTGGGTGGCTCAGTGGGTTGGGCCACTACCTTCGGCTCAGGTCATGATCTCAGGGTCCTGGGATCGGGCCCCACGTCGGGCTCTCTGCTCGGCGGGGAGCCTGCTTCCTCCTCTCTCTCTGCCTGCCTCTCTGCCTACTTGTGATCTCTCTCTGTCAAATAAATAAATAAAATCTTTAAAAAAAAAAAAAAGAAAAGAAAAAAAAGAAAATGCCCCTTAATCATTGTGAGTCCTGCCTCCGAGTCATCTCTGAAGGAGGAAGGGAAATGCAAATATCTCTCTGTGTCTGAATGCTTGCTTTCTTTCTCCTTCTCCCCCTGACACCCCCAAGAGGAAAGATGAAAACCAAACCAAACCCCAACCACGTCTCCAAAGTGCGTTGTGTCTCTTGCTTCTCCCTCCCCACCCCCACGCTGGAGACAGCGAGACTTTTGTCTGAATGCCTGGGTGTTCATTTTTGTTGGGAACCTTCCAGCTCTCTAGCCAGTTTAGAAATTAATAGAGATTTCCCTTCAGCTCTGCAGACACAGGGTCTGTCTAGCTGTCTCTCCTGTGTTGGCTTATAACACCAGAGAAGGGTCGGGGGGTGGTGGGGCTGGACAGGAGTCCAGGATCTGAGAGCCCAGGGGAGAGTCTGGCCTTGCTGGCAACCCCGCCCCCCCCCCCACATACATACACACCCCACTTCCCCCGCAGCAAGACATTGTCAGGGAATCTGAGCACGTTTCTGGGCCCATTGCCTGCTCTGGTCTTTCAGACTCGGGACCACCTGCTTGGTTGGCCACCAGTACTTCCTTGGCGGGGACACTCAGCTGTGTCCACTGTTCTGCCCTAGACAGAGAGGTGCACTTAGTCTGTCCTGCACCCAGACCCGCCAACTCCCTGAGAAGAGGCGAGAGTGGACAGGGAGCTGAAGGAGCCCCTTGATGTGGGAAGGGAGTAGGGCTCCTTCCTCTTCTTCCCGGTGCCCCACACCCTTCCCCCAAGCACATTTCTGAGAAGTGGCCTCTTTGTGTCCGGTTGGTTGGAACTTGTCCACCATCTTGGGGCCAGTTCCTCCCTTCCCCCCAGAGTGAGAAGGAAAACATCATGAAGAACGGAGCTGTGGCATGTGCTTTGGAACCCTGACTACTTCTGAAGGACAGTCCCGGGCCTGCAGGAACAGTGGTCTAGCATCTCACGTGGCCAGGGGCCAGCGCCTGGATAGGAATGGTGGCCATCATCTCTCCAGAGGCTGCATGAGATCCTGGGTCTGGCTAAAGCCCGATGCTCCTGCCAGGAGGACCTGACAGGGGTGGGCAGAAGCTCCCCCGGACACGAGGAGAGGCCCAGTTTCCCTGTTGTCTGAAACCAGTTTCCATTTGCTGGGAAGTGGACTGACAGCATTTCCTGCTGGTTCTAACTTGGGGGTCTCTGCAGGAGGTTGGCAGTGGGAGCTGGGATTTAACACCTTGCAGGCTGGGAAGCTGCCAGTCCCCAAAGGGTGGAGGCTGAGCAGGAAGATTTCTTTTTTTGTCTCTCACACCCAAAGATCACTTCCGTAGCCAGCAGATGGGCGGATGGGGGCGATGGTGTGTGAGGTATGCAGGAAGAAGGAACGTGCACTTCAGAAACTGGGACCGGGAGTGGGGCACAGGGGGAGAGACAATGTATTTTTCCGGTGGGGTGGAAGAATCCTGCTGCTTCAAAGTGCTATGGGACGGGGCTGGGTCAGGAAGCCCCCAAGACAGCTGAGTGTACCAGCCATGACCCAGCATTGGTACTAGAAAGATCCAAGTTCAAATCCCTGCTCTGCCACCAACCACCAAGAGTTAACATTTACTAATGTGTCTTCTGAGAGCTTTCCACCCGTGATCTGATTCAAGCCTCACAAAATCATATGAAGTAGGTGCCAGCTTTATTCCCATTTGACTCGGGTTTCCTGTGGTTCCCAGAGAGGAAGTAACTTGCCTAAAGCGATGCAGCCAGTGAAGATAAAGCTGAGTCTCAAACCAAGGGCTGTGGGGCTCTGCAGTCTCTGTTCTTACCCAGCGCTTTACAGTTGAAACAGTCACTTACAGCCTCTTGACCTTCCAGCCATCTGGCCTTGAGGAAGTCACTAACTTCTTACATCCTTAGTGTTGCACGTCTGGGAAATGGGGGAGATGAACATTGTTCTCCTAGGTTTCTCATGAGCATTAAATGAGAGGATGTTGGTAAATCTTTGGGCCAGTACCTGGCCTGTGATAATACTGTCATTCATTTAATAGCTATTTATTGAGCACATGCTACAAGCCAGGGTCCATTCTAGGTGCACAATCTAGAAGAGGTCCCAGCTCCACTAATGAGAGTAAGCAAATGAGCTAGATAATTTCAGTTAGTCATATGTGTTACGGAGAAAAAGAAAAATAGAGTAAGGACATTTACTGTGGAGACATGAAGGTCCACTGTGGCTGGGTGGCCAAGGGAGGCCTCTTTGAAGAAGGTGTAGTTGAACTTAATTCCCAAAGAAAGGAAATGTGGAAGAAGATAAACCTTCCAGGCCAAGGGAACAGCAAGGACAAGGCCCAGAGTTGGGAACAGAAAGGAGGCCAGTTTAGCTGGGCAGAGGCTAGGCCATGAGCGTCATAGGAAGGTGTTTGCATAGTGGGAAGCCTTTGGAGGGTTGAATCGAGAGAGTAATGCTTTCTCATTTGTTTATTTAAGAGGTGTCTTTGGCTTCTGTGTGGAGAATCAAATACTGGGGAAATGGATTGCAGAGAGAGATGGCGGAGGCCAGGCGGGACAAGCAGTCCCAGTGGATAGTGGTAGACGGTGCTTCCCATTGGCGGACCAGGACCGCCCCCAATAAAAATCCGAATGAAGACAGGACTTGTACAACCAACCCAGCAGTGATTTCCACAAAAGTAACAAGCATCAGACCTCACAGATTGCCAAAAGAGGAGTTTGAGCTCTTTTCCTAACATTGTATGAAGATCACCACTGTCATCCTGCTATAGAGCAGCGGCCCCTGATGTTAGTATTTTTCTTTTAAACAATGAGAACTTATACTTTGGAGGGGTTATTGACTCTCACTGCATAGCTTAACTTTATGAGGTCAAACTGGATTTTGGTACAGAGCAGGGTTAGTCAAACTTTTTCCGTGCATGGCCAGAACCATTCAGCTGTGCCCCTCTCCATAGCTGTAGACCAACCATAAACAAGGCATTAAAAATGGGTGTGGTTCTGTGCCAATAAAACTTTATGTACAAAAACAGGCAGTGAGCCACATTCAGCCCATGGATTATAGTTTGATATTTCTGGTAGGAGATATCATCTATTTATATGGCCCAGATAATTTTTTTTTCTATAAAACCAATTTGAGACATTTCCCCCAAATCCTTCTGTAAAACTAGGGTGCATATCACGCACCTGTGCTTAACACTAGAGAATATGATGTAAGTTAATGATGACTCAGCCCAGTGGTTTCTTGATGATTCTTTGGAGGTAACTCAGGGAAACCAAGGTGATAGTGAAGGTAGAGGGCTTTGGACCCCCACAGCTCAAGCACGAGAACTTCTTGGATGCATGTTTTTTTTTTTTTTTTTTAATTGGCAGCTTTCAAAAGAATTTGAGCTAGAAAGCGAACAAACAAACAAACAAAACAGTAATCCAATTCAAATGGTTGAAGATCATGTTTCTCTTCTGGTCTCATGGGTTAGGGACACATTAATTACATAATTGCCTATAGAACAGACTGACACATACCTTTTCTAACTGGATGGAAAGGGGTCAGGAAAGAGTTGCTTTGGGGTCATATCTGAGGGGTAAAGGATGTTGAGGGGACACAGGCTAAGTCTCTTACGTAGTTTGAGGCTTCAGACAAATACCACAGTATCTACTTTCAAAGCATCTTAGGGCGGAGCCGCAGGCTGGCCTCCGGTACTCTTGGAGAGGCAGGATGGTAGAGTGGCTTGGACTTTACAGTCAGACACAGGTTTGAATCTCTGCTGTACTGTCTTTATTGGTGAGACAAGCTATTTCTTTAACTCTCTTGTTATGCATTTTCCCAGCTGGAAAACTGGAATAATATTACTTCCTTTTTCAAGCTCTTGGGTGGATTAAATGAATTAACCTACGCAAATTGCCTAATGCATTGCCAGGTGCTTGAGAAAGTAATTTCCTTCTCTACTCTGTTCTCAGGGGTGTGGGGGGAACTCAAAGGATCTTTGAGATCTTCTACCCTCTCTTTCCTGTTGAATCCAATTTCCATGCCCCAATCTTCTCTTCCCAGGATGTGGCCAGGTTCTGCGAGCCTCAAAGGGTCAGATTTTGTTGGAGAGCTACCCCCTAAATGCTCATTGTGAATGGACCATTCATGCCAAGCCTGGGTTCATCATCCAGCTAAGGTAAGGGGCTATAGTCAGAATTAGGGAGTTTGGGGTTATAAGGAAACACGGGAAGAGGACTGAGCACCGTAGATCCCAGTGACCACAGGCTAACCATCTGTATTTTATTCTTAAAAGCAGGTAATGTTGGGCACCTGGGTGGCACAGTTGGTTAAAGTGTCTGACTCTTGGTTTTGGCTCAGGTCTGAAATCGGGGTCATGAGATTGAGCCCCAAGTTGGGCTCCCCGCTTGGCATAGAGTCTGGTGAGTTTCTCTCTCTCCCTTTCTCTGTGTACCTCCCCTACTTGCACTCACTTGCTCTGTTTCTCTCAAATAAATGGATATATCTTTAAAAAATAAAAAAGAAGCTGGAAATGTACACTGGAGCCTTTTTTTTTTTTTTTTAACCTCTTGGCAATTCCATGGGATGAGGCCTGGTCAAAACCATAGCCAGTTATATGTTTGTCATTCACTGCCCTACAATTGTGGGGGGGGGTGTTGTGGGTTTAGGGAATTTTGACCCAAGCATAATATCAACAAAGCAAAATACTAATAGCCTTCTACCCAACCCACAAATCTCGACCAAGTCTTTCTATTCACCCAGTACTGGACTGGGTTCTGCAGGAGGAAAGGGAAGAAATAAAAGGCACAGATCTAATCTTCAAGGAATTTATACTCCAGATTGAGGTTTATGCTCATCAGCTCCTTTCACTGGTAGTCTCAGGAAACAACCACCACCCCATAACGAATAAACCCCATTTTCACGCTTGTGTAAGAGATAAGGCATTTCTTCTTATGGAGCTTTGGCGTCCTCACAAATATTTGATTTATACCATAGTACAAAGTACAGACCCAGTTTTATGGTAACACAAGATAAACAACACAAGAGAGGCTTGTTCTATGAGAACTGTTCACTGTCACCTCCTAGGGCCGGGAACAGCCGGAATGTCATCAGGCTGATGTGTTTAATGGGGCCGTACACGCCCCAGGAGCATGAGAGATACTTGTGTGAATAAATGTCGAAAGAACTTCTCCCTGCCGCCAGTGTATCTCCTCTCTCCTGACAAATACCTCTCCTTTTCCTTTCCAGGGAAATGGAGTGGCCCATTCCCCTCTGGGATTTCTAGGAACATTGTCCACTTACTTCTTTCCTTTCTACCCAGTAATGAAGTTGGCAGTGATGGAAATCCCTAAAATCCAAGGGCACATGTTTTCAATAAGTATTTTCTGGATGGATCAATGGAGTTTTCCACATTCCAGCTGGCTCCTCAGATGGCTCTCTGTCTTCCAGGAGGGGCAGCATATGGCACTCTGCCTTGGAACAGGTCCCCTTCTCAATTCTCCTCACCAGAGCTGGCCCTCAGTGGCTGATCTCCCCATTTCTTGAGGATCTGGAGTTGGGAGTGAGGCTCATTAATTGAACTTTTCTAGAACGAGGTTGGCATAAGGAACACCTGAGGGATCACACCGTTCTGTTAAGGGGCTTCAGGTGGGGTCTGCCAAGGATGATAAGGGCAGGTGTTAAATGCCACATATTAGTTCAGCACCTTAAGGACCAGGCCAGTGGTCCCTTTAGGGGCCTCTGAGGAGCCTCTCCAAGATCCAAGATGCAAAGGAAATCTCTCCCAAACAAAAATCGAAACTGGTGGTGGTGCTTCTAGGCATGTCACATGCCTAGGAGAGGCCCCTAGGGAGGCTTGTAAATATACAGATTTCTTCTCCTTCATCAAACCTGGACCTGTTGGCCAATGGTAATAATAATAATAACAGAAACACATGCACATTTACAATGGTCAGAGCAAAAGCTGAGTGGTCATTCCTGGTGCCCCCCACTTCTATCTTTCTATCTATCACAAAATCTATCTTCTTACATGTAAAATCATCTCACGTCCACCTACTTCGGACTCTGATGCCACGATTCTCCTTTTACCACCATCCTCTCTCACCTTGATTCTCTCATAGCTTCCTGACTGGCTTCCATGTTTCCATACTTGCCAGCTCTGCTGTCTTCTCCTTGACAAGAATGATCCTATAAAATCCTAAATCCAATCATGATTCTGTTGTCGAAAACCCCCTGCTTATTCCTATCAGGCTTGGAATAAAATCTAGACCCCTCACCATGCAGGATCTGGCTCCTGCTGGCCTTGCCAACCTCAGTTCATACCACTCTCCCCTTTACACTCTATTTTGCAGCATCCCTGACCTTCTTTCAGGTCCTCAAATATGCCAAACTCATTACTTCCTCAGGGCCTTTGCACTTACAGAGCCCCCTGCCTGGACCTCTCTTCCTCATGACTTTCATATGGCTGGGTCTATTTCATCATGTAAGCATCTGCCCAGATATCAAGTTCACAGAGAGGTCTTCCCTTGACCACATTGTATGAAAAGCTTACCCTCCCTAGTCACATTTTATGCTCTTACCTGGCTTATTTTCTTCACAGCACTTACTACTCTATGAAATTACCTTGTTTTCTGGTTTCCTTGCTTATTGTTCGTCCCGCAGATCAGAACTACTCTCTGTTGGAGCTGGCACTAGTTGGGTGGGTCTAGTTGGGTCCCTGCTGTGCTTTCAGCACCTAGAACAGCGCCCACCACAGATGGATATTAAGTATATTAAGTACTTGGACAAATGAATGTACAGCTACAACTTGCAATATCCCATGTTTTGGTTTCAAATGTAAGCTGTGATCTCTGTTGTGTGGTGGCCTTCTCCCTGCGCCTTCCCTTTTCAGACAGACACCAATGTCCAGAGAAAGAATGGATCTGCCAAGGCCCACCGCAAGCTAGCCTTGGCATCTGGGTGAGAAGTCAGGTCCGTAGATGTTAGACTACTTTGCACGAGGCATGATTAATGGGCCATATCGTCCCTTACAAAAGGTTTTGTGATAAAAGTTTTGTAAAATAAATACTAGTTAAAAGGTGTCTTTTTAGGAAGACCTTTAAATGTATTCAAAATATATCGATTGTCACTGTGGTCCAGTGTTCTTTAATCCTGGCACTTGGACTTTTTACCCCAAGTTGTAGAAATAGGTCCTTGTCCCAGCATCTCAGGTGGCAGTTCTGAGCTCTTCTGTCTATTCTTAATTCTTCTTCAAAACATGAGGGAGAATATACAGATGTACATTCTGTGACCTTGACACCAAAGCATTCCCTTTGGAATAATCTGAAAAGTGGCTTTTCCTCTCATTGTCTGGGATGTGGCTGCCTCCTATCCTGTCTCTTGGAATTGTATGCTTGGGTCATCCTCTGTTCTTTGGATCTGATGTATTTAAGTATTTCCAAACCCAAGACTATTTAAGGCAATTATAGATTTACCAGATCTCCCCCAGTTCTGAAATTCTGATATAGTGCCACCTTTTTTACTCTTTGGGCAAGAATTATTGTTACCCAGAAGATCACTGCCTTCTCATCCTTCCATCAAACAGAGGAATGTGTAGAGATTTTGTTTTTCTTCTTCTTCTTTTTTTTAAAGATTTTATTTATTTATTTGACAGAGAGAGATCACAAGTAGGCAGAGAGCCAGGCAGAGAGAGGGGGAAGCAGGCTCCCTGCTGAGCAGAGAGCCCAATGTGGGGCTCAATCCCAGGACCCGGGATCATGACCCGAGCCAAAGGCAGAGGCCCAACCCACTGAGCCACCCAGGCACCCCGGTTCTTCTTTTGAGTTTTGCAAGACAATATGTCCTTTTTCCATCGTCCAGTTGTAAAATTAGACCATTGTATCCATTCAACCAACTATTCACCAATATTTGCTTGGCCTCTCTATATGCCAGACACTGTGTTGGGCAGTGTGCAAACAATGGTGGAAGAAGCCAGCTGTTTTCCCCTACACTCAAGAAATTTACAGCCTAATGGAAGAGATAGGCATGTCTGCATGTGCCTGCAGACACACACACACACACACAGACAAAATCAAGCACAGAAAATAAATTAAAATTTATATACCCATTATGAAGAAAACAGGGGATCTCCTTTAGAAAGCGTTGTCAAGGAAACCTCTTTGAGGAGAGACTATTTCCGGGGAGGCCTGAGGATAGGAAGGAACCAGCCTTGAACCTTGGGAGGAAAGTGACCCTGGAAGAGAGGCCGGCATGTGTAGAGATGTTCTAGATGGAATAGGGACTCTCTTGGCCCAGGCAATCACACACACACTGGTGTCCCTCTGCTAAAAGGAATTCACCTGACCTCACATTGTCCAGGCCCCTTCTTCTGTCCAATGAGGCCAGTGGCACCGCTCCTCTAAGACCTGTTCATCATCTGACCTTGAACTTGCTCAGGGATTGCAGGAGGGGCTGGAGCACACCCGTTCCCTGTTGTTCCCTCTCTGCCAACAGGTTCGTCATGCTGAGCCTGGAGTTTGACTACATGTGCCAGTATGACTACGTGGAGGTCCGCGACGGTGACAGCAGCAGCAGCCAGATCATCAAGCGCTTCTGTGGCAATGAGCGGCCAGCGCCCATCCGCAGCACGGACTCCTCACTCCACATCCTCTTCCATTCAGATGGCTCCAAGAATTTCGATGGCTTCCATGCCATCTTTGAGGAGATCACAGGTAAGGGCCATGGAAACAGATGTAGCATTTTAAGGCTGTGCTCCTGGCAGACGTTTCCTTTCTGTGCTCCACTCCTCCTCCCTGCTCAGCCTGATTAAAGCCCTCTGTGCTGGGTTCTTGGAAGCAACCGACATGTTGAAAAGGAAGAAGGAGAGGAAGGTGTATTTCAGAAATGTTCAGCCAGAGGCTTAGCTAGTTACTATGGATGCCTTTGTACACACGCTGGAGCAGAGGGAGGCCAGGCCATGTGTTCAAGGTCACAAAGCAGTTGGCTCAGCCTAAGGGGCCTCTCATGGTTAAGGGCATTAGCTTTGGAGCTCTGGCAGATGAAGCTGTGTGACCTGGAGTAAATTCTTCAACTTCCCCAGGCCTTGGTTTCCGAATTGGTGAGTAAGGAAGAAAGCAGATCCTGATCCAGTAAGGAGGTTCTGGGAGACGAAGGAGATGAAGAGCTTGGCACAGTGTCTGGTACATAGGACATGCTCCGTAGCTGTCCAACCACTGGAGTGCCCTGGGCCTCCCCCATTATTTGCAAAACAGGCATTAAAAGTGTTTCTCTTGGTGGTAAATGGCACTCACTTTGTGAGTAGCTCTAGGCCTGACTTGAACGCCTGCCCTGTTCATATCAGGAAGTAGGATCGGACCAAAATTAGCAAAATCCTAGGGAAGGACACTCAGCTCTCGCTATTCTGAGATTGGACTGGATCTGGCTTTCCAGACCGAGCTCAGGCTTCAAGTTCTGTTTTTTTTTTTTTTTTAATACCCAGTTAGGCATTGTAGTGGCATTTTGATTGCTGTGGCTTCCTACGGAAGGTAGGGTACCAAAGCCTCAGGAAAGGCAGTGACAGCATTGGGATGGGGAGGTATGGTTGGGGTCAACCTTCTGCAGCCTTGTCCTTTCAGCAGATGCCCCTCCCCACCCACCCCACCTGCCTTTCCCTTAGACTGTCTCCCGTGAGCACTCAGCCGTTGCTGCTCATCTGTGGGCCCACTGTCTTCAGAGGATGTCCCCTGTGGAGCTGTGCAGGCCTGAGGGTTCAGGTGGCTGTGATGCTGTGGTATGGAGAGCTGGGTCAGCCTGTGGCTGGTCCTTGCCCTTGGGAATACAGGGCCAGCCACAGATGGGTAAGGGCACACTTGAGGCACGTATGGGGATCCTGGTGGCAGTCAGCAAGGCTGGATGTCAGGGAAGCCAGGAGAAGCAGCAGTGGCTCACCAGCCTGTGACCCTGGGACTGGGAGGGTCAGGAGGGTCTCTTCCTCCTTGGAAGGGGGCTTCTCAGCCCCCGCCAGAGAACTTTGGGAAATGCTGGTCTGTGTTGTCAGGTAGAAGGTAGCACTTCCCGTTCCTCAGACACCCCGTTCGTGTGCTTATACTTGGGTTTTTACCTCAGGCTAAGGTGAACTCCTCCATACCTGCCTACCCAATCCCAGCCCTCAGGGTATGTATCCCACGCGTTTTCCTCTGCTAACCCTTTTCTCTTGCAGTCCTTATGGGAGGGGTAAAGGCGTGCCTCTGCCCTAATCACGTGGTATACCTATTTGTGTTGGCTTAGACTTTTCAGACTATAGGACCATACTTCTGGGGCCCTCAAAAATATCAAATAACGAGATACCTACCTGTTTTAGGCAGTCTCAAACAATGCTAATAGGAATCCAGTAAAAGAAAGTATTGTAAGATGAAGACTTGAATAGGCAAGCGAAAGACTCTGGTCAAGGCTCCGGGCTTGAAGAAGTTTACCTCACCACTCAATGACCCTGAGGGAAATTGTCTTTTCTCTTACAGCATGTTCCTCTTCTCCCTGTTTCCATGATGGCACTTGTCTCCTTGACAAAACCGGATCTTACAAGTGTGCCTGCCTGGCAGGCTACACCGGGCAGCACTGTGAAAATCGTGAGTATGCCTCCGGAGTGAGAGTTAGGGTGTCCATGGGGCTGGCATGGAGAGGGCTCTGGGAACTTGCGAAGCCTATTGTTGGTGATTAGGTTGGTCTGTCCAGGGTGGCACGTAATGTGGACAATCCCATCGAGGGTTTCTCGGGGCTGGGCAGCCTTTCTGACTCAGGGTGTCTGGAACCACCCAGGTCTTCCCACTGACATTTCCAGACCTCCCCTGCTGCTTATACCCCTCAAAAAGATATGACTTTGATCGCCTCAGATCATATTCAGAGCTCAAAAACATGGACAAAGGGCCAACAGGAGAAAGCCACCATCATAGAGGCTCCTGGGGCTCTCATCTGAACTCCCTGTCCATGGTGAGATCTGAAATTTGGAGGTCTGCCCCATGGAAGCATTCATAGACTCTGGGATGTTGTTGTGTGGTCTGAAGCCATTGGCATAGAGGAACTCAGCACTAACCGGAAGTCATTTCTCAGGGGTCTCTGGTAACCAAGCCTTGGATGTGACACATGTTCTAACAGAGATTTGAGACCTCACACAGATGTCATGAACTATAGCTCTCAGTGCAGAGGGAGATGGGCAGAAGAATGAGAAGGTTGAATCTGGGGGCAAGGCAAAGGAGGACAGATAAGAACCTAGGTAGGGTTTTCCCCCAGCAGATCCTGAGTGATGAGTGTGGGTGCAGGTGGTATATTAGGACACGGTCCCAGAGAAGCTGGCAAGGGAGTGGGGAAGCTGGGCTGGGAAGGGAGGGAAGCCAAGCAAAGGTGTGATTTCAGGCAAAATCCAGCCTCTGTGGAATCTGGCATGTAAATTACATCTCTGAGTGGGTCCTGGCTTTGTAGCAAGGCAGCTGGGCTTTCATAGCCCCCCTGAGACCAGCCAATGGCCAAGAGCTGCCCTGGGTGAGTAGGAGAACATGCCTGACTTCCTATGCATGTGGGCAGAGTGGTTCCAGTAAATCCCTGAATAATCAAAGAGATCTCAGGTGAAGGCAGTTGGAAGCAAAACAGTATAGACTGGAGGATGGGGAAGGCAAGCAGCATCTGAGGGCAGATCACCAGCAAGTCTGCTACTATCGTAACTATCATACATAGGTACTTTGGGTTCATCCTGTAAGACACCCTGGTCTGGTAGCATTCTATACTTCTCGCTTATTTTTCAGTCAATTTCATGACTTTTCCTTGTAAACAAGGCAGACGGAAGCCATGGTGTCACCAGTGTGTCCCCGGGTGTGTCACTGCATTCTTCTGAAAGCATCCCTTGCTTTGGCTTGGTGCAGCTGACCTGGTGTGGTTATGCCCGGTGCTTAGAAAAAGATGTTCTGCTTCATGGTTCCTGCCTTGTTTGAATCTGCTATGTTGTGTGCAAGGCAGAGAAGAGAAATGCTGCTTTCTCTTTGTTTTAAAAATGTATGTATAGAGCGAATCTGGAATCTTGACAATGGCAAATCCCGGGCTTTACCCTTTAAATTCAGAGGGAGAATAAAAGGAGGGGAGGGAGAGGCTTAATTTCTTGATGAACTAACTGATGGCACAATAACTAGAGCTTTGAAAAACAAGGTGAAATTGGAGACAAGTGAAATATCACCAAATAAGCCAAAATGCTTTAAGAAGCTGGGTCAAATCAGGGCAGGGGTAAAGAATGGGGGGGTGATGGCAGGGAGAGAAATTGATCAAAAGTTGTGACTGAAATATTAAGGAGTTGCTTACAAGTCAAACATTGACTTCTTAGCATTGTCATTCCATCCATAAAACAAAGGAAAACAAAGCAAACATGTAATGAAAAAAGAATGTAAAATGTGTTATTATGAGCTGATTCATAACCTGAGTCATGAACTGTCTCAAATCACTTTTGGTCTCAGAACACCAGCCTAGATGGACAAGAGAACTCCCTCTAGCCACTTTTTAAACCGTCACTCAAAAACCAAAATTCCCTTAGTGTCTTGAGGTTGTAACTAGGTGAGGGTATTGGTGGTGGATATCTGATCATTTGCTGACATTCATGTGGGGGACCAAATGTTTTATTATTTTTTATAAGATTTAGATTTGTTTTTCCTTCTAGGAAATTCAAAAGGAGTTCCAGCTAACTCAATGAGGGAAGCATCACGAAAATTGGCTGTGGCAGTTTACCTTGTAAACTGTAAACCAAAACCTTAGTGGTTTTCTAGAGTAACCTATTAGCTAGAAAAACAAAAGTGGGGGGGTGATATTTACTTTGTTGTTTTCTTCATGAGGATACCACTGAACTGGAAAAAGATCCCTGGAGGAAATTGCTTCAAAATGAACAAGAAACTCGAGTATTCTGGGATTCTCTAAACTTTGAAAAGCCCAAATTGAACCAGGCATTTGTTTTACAAAATCACTTTAAAAGCACCAAATCAAATATGAATTAGAATTCCATCTTTTATTGAAGCGATACCAGATCTGATAGGGGGAACTGCTTCATAGATGCTGCCTTAACGGTCTGCCCTCCCGAAGTCTTGTAGGAAGGTGGATGGATGTTCCTTTTAGCAGATAAAGGATTTAGCAGATAAAACAGAGAACACAAGTCACCAGTCCCCATCAGCTTCAAAACTCAAGGCTAGAATTTCACAGTTCCCATACTGTTCACTGCTTCCCAGACACGGTTCTCTCTAGCTGAACAATTGACAAGCTCTGGGCATGTCAGTGTGTCCCATTATCTAGTCCTCTCAAAGGACTTTTCCTCCCCAGGTAAGCTCTGCCTGTTGCTCTCTTCCAAAGAGAATCGCGATTCTCTGTCTCTTGATTTAAGCTATTCTCACTCTTTTCTTGGTATATATTTAAGAATGTGAGTGGGACTGGAATAGAAATAGATTTTCTGCTTACTTACAGAAGAAAGATATATGTTTAAAAATAATCAAACAGTCCAGCAATATATCAAATAAAAAAACACATTATTTCCCCTGACCCATCCTGGTTCCCAGTGGAATCACTGTTATTGTGGTCCTGCTGGACTTTTTTCTATGATGTGCAAATCCAAGTTGTTGATAAATCAGTATCTTAAATCACTGATTCTTTGTTGGGATTTTAGCTCCTATTCTGGCCCTCAGGGGCCTTTGGCAACATCTAGAAACATTGTCGATTGTCCTTATTGCAAGGTGGGGAGGCTACCTATGGCAACTACAAGGTGGAGGCCAGCCATGCAGACCCAGACCAGAGAGTTATCTGGCCCAAGTGTCGCCATGCCCAATTTGAGAAACCAGGTTTCAGACAAAAGTGGATTAAAGTATACAGGCAATTTTTCAACTTGTTGTTTTCGGTCCCCGCCTCATGGACATTTTCCCCAGGCCAGTCCATGTTGGCTTACTTCATTAAAAACAAGTGATTTTCTGAGTATTCCCCTGTAGGGATGTGTATACCATCACATACGCTCATCTAATCCCTTAAGATGGACTTGATCCCATACTTAATTTATTACTCTAAAGAAAGGAGCGATGAGTATCCTAACACCGATTTCTTGATTCATGTGTTAGAGGTATTTTTGTAAGAGAAATTTCTGGATGTTGAACTGTTAGTTCAAAGGGTCCATAGATTTAAACTCTGAAGAGGAACAGCCGAAATGGTCCCCAAAAGGCTTCACCAGTTTACAAGATGAGCTGTTATAATCACCGGTCCTCAAAATAAGAATCGGAACTCAGATTTGAGAGATGAGGGTCTCTTCTTGTCAAGTTGAGAATGGACTTATTTTCAAAGGAAGGTGAATGGGTCTGAGGGAAGGTCTGGTGCCCGGACTCCCTGGAGTAGTAAAGGAGGAGGAAGAAGCGACCTGCACAGGTCTGGCTCATTTGGTCATCAAGAGGCTGACGGTCCCCAGTGCGGTCCGTATTGCTGCTACCCCAGATCTCTCCTCCTGGTGTTTCCCAAGGGGGAGCAAACTTCCTCTGGTCCCAGGTGACCTCCTCTGAGAGCAAAAAACAGGGAGTTGGCCCCTCCTCAGCTCTGGGGCCAAGCTAGCCTCCTGCCAGCACCCTCGGTGACCCCAACCTCCCTGGGCCACCGTGTAAGGAAACACGGGTTTCCCCACAAGTTTTTTTTTTTTTCCTCCTCTCTGAAGTTTCCTGTTTCTTTGTATGGACACAAGGACAAAATAAGTTCTTGAGTAAATGGTGGGAATCTTGTTTTGTACCAGTGGAAAGCGAGGGATTCATTGCCCCGCTCCAGTTTCCATGTTGCCTTTGTTCCCCTGGCCCAGTTATCAATGCCTGGGCTTTCCCTTGCATCCTAATGAAGGACGATGAAACGGGCTAAATCTTGGGGCACAAAGCTCACACTGCAGGCTCTGACGCGCCTTGAACAAAACAAATCGGCTTCCACCAATTAAAGAACACTGGGGAATCCGGCTTCGTTTGGGGTTTGGAGCGTCAGGTTTCCCACTAGCCTGTCCCAAGGACTGGGAAGAAAGAGCCCCAGAGGAGGGGTTCACTTTATACTTTAGCTTCAAAGGGGCAACCGCATTTCTCATCAGAATAAGTGATTAGGAACTTCGGGGTTTTCATGGGAACTGTAACCCTGGCACAGTGGGAATGTGCCGAGGCCGCCAGTGGGTCAAGATCACCTCCTGTTGCAGACGGGAGATGACGGGCTGCAGCGGGATGCGCGCGGATTGTCCTAAGAGCTCTCAGGAGCGGCGTTGTAAACATGAACTGTGTCCTGGCTTTCACACCGTTCCAAGGGCCAGTCTCAGCCTTAATTTACGGAGGACAGGAGCCTCTTTGTCCGTAGTGGGATGGTATGTCCTGGGGTGAAGGGCTAGGGCTCTCTGGGCAGAGAGACCTGGGTTTGACTCTCAGCCTGACACTTACCAGCCAGATGACCTGAGCAGCCTGTTTCCCTCCAGTGGGCCTCAGTTTCCCCATTTATAAAGTTCAGAAAGGTAATACCACATATTTCTCAGAGCGTGTGTGGGGAACAGAATGAAATAATCCTTACATGTAAGGCGCTGAGTTGAGTCCCAGGAGCCATTACTTTTCTT